CTACTAGCGTGCTCACCTCACCCCAAATTTTGGTATCATCAGCAAATTTAAACAGGTTGCTTTTCACCCCGTCATCCAAATCACTGATAAAGAAATTGAACAGCGCAGGCCCAAGGACTGAGCCCTGGGGGACTCCACTGCCCACTTCCCCCCAGGTTGAATATGACCCGTCCACCACCACCCTCTGAGTGCGACCGTTCAGCCAATCTGCAATCCATCTGACTGTGTAGGCATCAATGCCACAGTCGCCTAGTTTTTTCCCTTGGAAACTTATTCCATATTTTGGCAACCCTAGATGAGTGGCCCTCCTCTCAACCCTCTCCAGGCCATCCACATCCCTCCCAAAGTGTGGCGCCCAAAACTGGATGCAGTACTCCAGCTGTGGCCTCACCAATGCCACATAGAGGGGAAGGGACTGAGGTGGGGCTGACTGGTTTTATGGTTCCCTGGATCCTGCTTAAAGATGGGCACTATATTTGCCCTTTTCCAGTTGTCCAGCACCTCTTCCAGTCATCACAAGTTTTCAAAGATAATGGCCAGTGGCTCTGCATTCATCTCAGTCAACTCTCTCAGCACCCTTGGGTGCATCATGTTTGGCCCCCTGGTCTTGTACACATCCAGATTTTCTAAATAGTCCCTAGCTTGTTCTTTCACCACTGCTGGCTGCTCATCTTCTCCCCAAACTGTGCTGCTACGTGTAGTAGTCTGGAAGCTGACCCTGCCTGTGAAGACCGAGGTAAAAAACAAACTAAAAAACATTAAAAAAAAATTAAACATATCTACCACAAATCCAACATGCTAAGACACAGTCAGTTAAGAGATAAATTAATTAAAATACATATTTTTCAACATAATAAAAATATACAATGTAGAATACAATTGTGGATTTCAATGCATTATACTTATTGACAAAGGAAGAAAAATGTTATTACATCATCAGTGTAACCCCATGCTACAACACAGTAGCAGATAATATACATGGCAGGAAATGTTTTTGGACAACTGTCAAAATTAGAGTGGAAACACACTATTGGTCTGAGTTTCACATGTGCTCAGCATCTCTGGACATCAGGCTATGTATTATCTAAATTAAGGAGGGGAGAATCAAGCTATAATCTTATTAGTCTAAGAGAATTTAGCAGCCCATTTGATGCAACTAGAGCATGGAAAATTCTGAGCTGTGTTTGGAAATGTTCACCAGTTTACTATTGGAGATAACATCAAGTCCCAAGTCCCTCTTTTCCTCTAAGATGCAGTTCACCTCTTGTTCCCTGTTGTCAGTGCTAGTGAAAAACCCCTTCAGAGAAGTCTATATTAATATAGGTATTTACAGTAAAAACCAGTTAAGTATTCCCCTGTCTGACCACTGCAACTCTTCCCGTTCAGACACAAAATGAAAATAGTCTATTTTATTTGAAAATGGATAATAATTTAAGATATATGGAATATTTCAATATTTTGTATAAATGCCCTGAGCAAGTATTCCACATCTTGTTGCAGCTTCTGACTGATAGACCTTGAAGGCTTTCGCTTTAGCATCTTGGCTGCGAAAGGTACTGAGATGAGGGTCAACTTTCTCCAAAGAGGGCAAATGACAAAGTGGAGCTGATTTCACAGGCCGTTGGTGTTCTCTCAGCATGCTGCAGTATGTCTTGTATACTTTCCCATGGGGCATTGTCCTCTTTTTTTGTTCCTTTTGAATGTAGGTGTTTTCCCGTTGTTCCTCCACCCAGATATCCTGGAACTGATGCTGGAGAACATCTGTGATAGGGGTATGGTGGCGAGGTGGCATTCCGTATGTCATGGCATCTGGCAGGCGTGGTGGGTCCTTTTTAAAGTGACGTTCGTCATCTTCAGGGAGACGGATATCGTGGGTTTGGCGGTACCTATAGTGTTCCTTTGCTGTGATAAGGCCAGCCTTGATTGCTTTGTGGTTCATAGAAATAAAATCACGTGGCATCTTCTTTGGTGGTTTTGGTGCAACTTTCATTACATTCCAGTGGCCTATTGCTTCAGGAACTCCCCCCTCATTGGGAAGACGTAGTCCATACACAAAATCAGACCCTGGCAAGCGTGCACAAATGTGGCGTGGCCTTCCCAGCTCTGGCTTAAGGATGAGGTGGTTCTGGAACATGGTGTCTCGCAGCACCCCAACTCTCTCATTTTCCATCCCCGATCGGATATCAGTTGCGATCAGGGGTATCAAGGGTGGCGGACAGGTGTCACTAACGCTGCATCTTCTTTTCTTTTTCCGAGGGAATTTGTGATCCTTGGATGCTTCCATTGCCAATCAGTGAGAAGCGAGCAGAGAGTGTCACTCCCAGCTCTCTTGTCCAACATGGGCACCTGAACTTGTTAGCCCTACAAGCCTAACTCTAGATTCTTGTGACATCACAAACCACACAACCTTCTTCCTGATGGCTTTATGATGTCATCAAAACTGAACATATTCATTGGTTGTCATCCAGTCACTACTGGCAACAGTAAGATGCAGGTGACTATGGTTCCTCCTGACAAGAGGGGGTGACAGCACCTGCTAGAGCCAGCACAACAAAGAGGGAGGAGGGTTTAACTTGAAGGGATGGAAGATCCATGAACAACTGGTGCCTCCTGTGACTGGGGAGGCACCATGGTGGCGAATGGGGACTGCCTGCAGCTGCTGCCGCAGATGCTGCCGACCGTGTCAGTGGTGGGGGGTACGGGTGCAAGTGGTGACCTCCCGCAGAAGCCGGCAGCAGCTTTGGTGGTGGCCAATCTCATGTACCCTCCCGTACCCCCACTACATATCGCCTATGGGAAGATCCATGTGTCTAAGGCAGCTCAACCCCACAGGAATGTTACTAAACCATCCCTAACTTAATGGCAATGACCTGTAATCAGTGAAAAAAAATTTTCTGAAAAGCAATTTTAAAAATTAAATGTCAAGGTAAAAGACTGTTGTTACAGCATGTCTAAGAGAGAACTTCAGACCGGGGTACCACAAATGTCACCTCCACCAATCATGCAGTTCAAATACAAAGCCAGACAGCTAATGTTTCAGCACTGAACTGTGAGGAGACTCAGGTTTTTTCAACAGCTCTGCTACTAACTTGTGCATGTAAAACGAAGTAAATCATTTAATCCCTCAGTACCTCTGTTTTCCCTCCTATCTGTTGTCTCTTGCCTATTTAGATTCTCTATATCAGGGACACTCTCTCAGAGCCAACAATGCCCTAAGCTGAGATGGACTCTCCAGGACTACAGATAATAATATCTCAGTAATTGTCCAAAAGAGATAATATCACAATTCTGGGCTTGACTGGGAAAATTCCTTCCAAGCTGGGACTCAGGTCTCCCCACCAAGCATGAATTTCTAGTCACCCTAAGTTGTGCCTAACATTTGTAATTACTCATGCAATGTTAAAAAAAACCCTCTTCTACGCACAATGCAGAAAACATCAAATTAATTTCCTTACTATATTTGCATTGATAGAGCTAAACAAACATTTCCAGAATAAGAAGGCAACGTTAGAACAAATCTAACCTGAAAACAGAAAGTTAAACTTTGACAATTAACTTATTCTTAGATATTCAAGTACATTGCAGAAGTCAAACATAAGTTATATACTGCAAAATATGAACTTGAAAAGGAAATCAGAAGTGAACCTTTACATTGTTTATTTTTATTTTTACAAGGACTTCGAATTTTGCATTTAGTCTATACTTCTCTTTAGAGAAAGCTAAGTTTTTACATATTAGTTTTCAGAGGGTTCTCTTAGTAACACCAATTGCCAGATAACATGTACTATGACATATTTCTGGAGCCTAATTACAAACTCTTTGCAAAGGGAAATTGAAGTGAATGTGCAGAAACCATTTACCAAATTTAATCTCAGAAAGTTTTTATTTTAAAATATTAAAGGTGATTGTGTTTTATCAGACTTCAAAGTGCGTGCATCCGCAGATGCCCACATATTGCATAACACACATACATACACGTGCAAATGATGTGTGTGAATATGTATGTATGTACTATGTGCATGTGTGTGAAGCCATTTTGATTTACTTCAATGCAAAGAAAGCAGTTTTGTACAAGTAAAATTGTATCTAGATGGTGAGACTAGTGTCAGTGAGGAAAAATATTTATTTTTTTTAGGTCTGAGTGATAGACCCCTGAATGCCATGTGCAGTAACGGAATAGCAACCTCACCAAGGTCATATTTCTACTTCTTTTTTATACACAAAAGCTATATTATTATTCCCTCTGCTTCCAAAAGTAACCATGTTCATTATCCTTTTAACATTAAAACAGGTGTTTTAATGTTAAGAAAAAGAAGAAAAAAAGTAACACCCACGCCAGCATTTTAAATCTGATGCCCCCCCCTCAAATTAAAAAAAAAAAAAATCTTACAGTATCTTTTGAAGTTCCCAGTTTCTTCAGCCCTTCCAGAGGCAGCAGGTCTGCTGAATCCTTGTGAATAAACTGAACTGCCTGTTTCATTCTCCTCTGCTGTCGGAGAGATGCAGCTTCCCTCATTTCCACCTCCTTCCTACTAGGCTCTGTGAGGATACCTGAATAAAACATCTTCTTGTCTGTGCACGTCTCGCTCTCACTGAAGAGATGTTACACTCCCATATAGCAATGAGCAACAAAATGATTTATTGTCTGCACTTGATAACGGGAGCCTCATGACGTTTCAAGATCAGCAGGTACTCCAACCAGTGCAGCACAGTAAAGGAGGGGTTAGGCACATTGCAACATGCTGCAAACAACCTGCATGAATTCAGACTCAGTCTAGAGGAATAATCAGCACTGTTACATCTCACTGGCTCCTCTGAAAGGAAGGGTTGGAATGACTAAATTAGCCTTGGGCACCACCCTGTCTTTAACATTACACCAGCACATGTGCCTTTGAGTTGGTTCTAGGAAAATAAATGTTTCAGAAGATGAGCTTTTGTAAACAAAACCAGTTTGTTCTCTAATGAAATAGATGTGATCTTAAAAAAAAAGAGAGAAACAGAAACGTGTGTAATATGAAAATACAGTGGTAGCCCTAGAGAGAGAAGGCAGGACAGAATGGCACCACACAGTCTAGCTTTATAAAGAGTTCATCTGCTGCCTTGTAGAACTCGGGGATAGATAATCTGTGCCTTTTTAGTACTTCCAGAACGAAAGGGTGTGTCTACACATGTACTTTAATGCACATTAGTCTATTTTAATGTGCATTAAAGCTTCACAAAAAAGTGCTCTTTAGCTAATGTGCATTAAAACAGGCAAATACGTGTTTTTCTAGTACCTCACAATGGAGGGCACCTATACATGAGCATGGAGGCTGCTTCAATGCACTGTAGTTACAGCACATTGGAGCAGACTCAATTAATCAAGTCTGCTGGAGCATGGCAGTTACTGCGCTTCAGCAGCCTCCTACATCTTGTGTGTCGGCATCCCTGCGCTTAAAAATGGGGGTGGGGTGCTTGAACTAAACCTTGTTGAACGAGCTTTAGTTCAAGTGTTTGAACATGTGAGGAGGCTTTCTAGATTGGATTGTACCTGTACAATAACAATATATAGATTTGTATGACTGATCGGAAGACACTTTTTACATAGTAATACCATCCAGAACATAAAAATAGCAAGAGCCAAGGCAGAGGCTTATGTCAAGCGCGCTTTTGTGTGCATGTCTAAATACTTTGAAGAGTCTGACTTGTCCAAACACTATTGTACACAGGGGTTATACTGTTGTGTCCTCCTCTACATCTGTGAAGCCTTACTTGCTTTGAGTCACACAAGGAGCTTCATTTTCTCCACATGTATGCAGCTCATAACTCAGATTTTATGTTTTATATACAGCTCAGGCAAGCTTTTGAGACATTTTGCAAGTTTCATGGAACTGGCCCTGTGTCTTAATACTTAGCAATGGAAAAGAATAAGGGAGGAAAGGAAAATAGTGTAAAAAGTGATCAAAACTAATTGGGGTGGGAGTAAGGAGAGGAAAAAAGCATAGCAACATAGAGCTTCTCTCTTATTCAAGAAACTAAGACTAAAAGCATAGGTAGACAAACAAGCTCTACCTTACACAGGAGAGATTTCCATTCCCTTATTCCTCCTGAAGAGTATCTTACTCCATGTCCCACTGACGTCAATGCAGTAAAGTGCACAAGAGAAAGGGAATTGGTATAGATCATTTTGCAACCAGGAGCTCACTTAATGCCTGTCCTTTACAGAATCAGTCTAGTGGTAGCAAAGTCGATTTAATAATATACTAATTTATCCCCATATATTTTAAACGTAAAAACACTTCTGGTGATAAGAAGGCACTGAAGGCCATTCGTCCAAGATTGCTATCTTGGCAGATGATGCCAGGAAGGCTAACTGTGACTAAATTAGTGTGAAAAATTATCCAAACACATACATCACCATAAACCATGTAAATCAGACAGCATACAGATACACTGGTTTCAAAGACATCTCTCTTCCAAGACAGATTATTACACTGACGTTGAGAGCCTCCTAGAGGTATGCAGACGTCAGTATACACCACTGTTCTTTGGTGATGATCAGGGGGCACAGTTCTGTGAATCAGCTGACATATTTGATCTCTATAAGCAAATCAGGACTGAAGACAACTATACATTCAACTTATCAAAAGCACTAAGTTACAGGCTAAACTAAATTAAGCTCGGAATACAGAACGCACCGAAGTGCAGGGCAATGCTTTCCTAGTCTTGACGTCAAAGGCTGTTAAAGTATAAACTGGCTTACATATTCAGAAAAGCTGTGTCTGTGCTCAAAGATAATGAGCAGAACACTCCCAAAGGCATAAATGACACGTAAGTGTTGATAGACGGGGGGGCACAACCCCATGCTGCTGCCACTACCTCTGCCTTCAAGGTGCTGGCTCTGGCCACGCTGCACCTCCAAGCCCTGCCATCAGCACAGAAATATGGGGGCGGGGGCGGGGCACTTGCCCCTTGTACCCCCCCCCCCCACATGTTGCCTAGGCCCAAAGGCCAACAGACAGTGTAAACAGACAGGATTTTTATTTTCCTAGCATACTTGGAACACCGGCCTACTATATAATGAGCCATTACAAGCAAATATGCCTTAGAGCAAGGGTTTTCAACCATGTTCAATAAGGGTACCCCCAATGGCCCATAAGGGTACCCCCAGTGGCCCCCTTTTTAATATGTGTACCCCCAGAAGGGGAGGGTGGCGAGCGGCCAGACATGGTGCGTGGTGGGGGGAGGGTGGCAAGTGGTGGCAGTGCAACATCTGTGCAGCTCTGCTCTCATCCCATCCCAGCCCTGCTCCTGTGAGGCAGCGCTCCATCCCCACCTGCCCCGACATACCTCCTGGGACCTTTCAAAGTACCCCAGGGGTACACATATCCCTGGTTGACAACCCCTGCCTTAGAGGATAAAGGCATCTTATTTTTCACCTTAGAAACTATTTGGCATGAATACACTGGATGAAGAAAAACCATAAAAGTTCATACTAAAATTGGTAGGTGACATTGATATAAAAAGGATCCACAAGGCAGAAATGTTCTGTTTTGCTGTATTAGTAAATGCCCAGTTAGCTCTGACTTATGGCAAAAGAAGCATGTACATCCAACTGAGATAGCAGGTAGAGTGCTAAATTAAACCTTCATGTTACAGTTCTAAGATGTAGCCTGTGTTTTAACTTAGCAAACGAGAGTTTAATGGTCCCACAATTTTCTCTTTTACCATTTGTTATAAAATTTCCTGATGTCAATAGAGGAGCAGAAAATCTGCCCAGTGGTATTAAATCTTTGTGCTTTACGGCAATGTAAAGAATAAGAAATGCTCTTGGACTCATCTCCATCTTAATATTCAGCAGTCAAATACAAAACAGCAAATCAGCTGCTCATAATGTGCAGCATTTCCAGCACTGCCTGAGTTTTATTCTGTGTTTTTTTTAATGCATCGATTAGTCATTTGTTTGCAACAGAAGCTAACTCATGTTAGCCAACTGCATTCCTTCCTCTAAGAGTGGTATGCTTATGTCAGAAAATACATTAGCAAAGCTCTTGTTCTGCTGCTCAAAGGAAGTTTCCATGGATAAACTGTCTTTTATGGGAATAAAGCTAAAAAGGTCAATGAAATCTTTTTCATTGCTGTCTGACTTCAAAGGGACATTTTCTTTGAGTAAAATAAAATCACAGCTGCCATCCAAGGGAAACTTCAATAGGTTATCAAGGTTTTTTCTAATTCTGGAGGAGTTAGCCCTGTTTTCTATGTAACCACCCCAGAATCAGGCCAACATGCTTGTGCCTTTTTGTGGTACAGATGTTGACAATTGGGGTGTTTTATGAGGGAATATGAAAGGATCCTTGTAATCCCCCAATGAAGTATTTTTCTCCATTTGCAAACCTGATTCTAAATGTCCTGCACAGCTCAGTGGACACAGTTCCTGCACTTGCAGTACACTCTTCCTGTGCAGGGATGGTTGCTGCCTGTGGTTTTTTCACTGCTTGGCAATGATCGCACGATGCTCCTTCATTTCCATGGCTGCGGGATTCTGAATAGGAGCTGCTGGATGTGTAGTAACAGACGGCTGGGGCCTGACATCCTAATTTTCCTCAAGTAATGGCAGCTGTAAGAAAACATAAAGCTATTTCCTATCACAGGCTAGCTAATTTTGCTGGAAATCTGAGTGATTCATAGTTGCAGGCACAGACAGGCTGTATATGCTGAGGACAAAAGGCAGATGGCTGCGGATACTTCAAACAGCAGCAGCTGAGATCTAAGGGATGAAGTGCAGAGAAGTACCTATTGCCCTCTGCCATGTCTCAGATGTCTGCCAGACCTGCAAAGACAAGAACAAACTCTTCCCTCTCCAGTTTCCAAGCCAGCCCCAGGAGGAACGCTGGGAGAAGTACAGCTTGCTCTGCACCTTTCAATGTTGCCTTCACTGCCGTGCACATTTGATTAAGAACGTTTGCCTATTTCTCATCATTCTTTTTATACATGTTAGTTGGTGTAGTTAATTAACATAAGTTGGCAGCAACCAGCAGTAAATATTTATTTATAGGTTGCTGTAAACATATAACTGTAGGTCATAGCTTCCTCCCTTTTATTTTCTTTTCACATTAAATAAAATATTCTAAACTTCCAATATATTCCAAATAGACTTCCAAATATATATCTACCTAGCCCATAACATTCCATGTAATAGTTACTCAGTGAAAGGACAATAAACAAGGTACAAACTGCAACACTTTTACCAGTTTTACCATGAAGCAGATGCTGGGCAGAACTTATAGAAAAACACCAGAAAGACTTAGAACAGTGATTCTCAATCAGGGATGAATCCAGGGGATGGTACACTGCTGCAGTTGCATTCCCCTCTGATTCCTCCTCCACCCAAACATTGAAACCTATTGCCTGGGAGTTTGCAGTGGCATTTCTATTCAAGCAGCGCTGAGTCGATGGACTTCTTGGCTTATTATCATCTCCCTGGTTCCTGCTATTCTCTCTCCACTCCATGGGTGTTAATCTCTATCGTTTTCAATAGTATTCATTTTCTATGATTCTATGTTCCACTATTCAAACTATCCTTTCTTTTGTAATGTTGCTGTCTGTTAGCCATTCTTGGTAATGTCTCTTTCTCCAATTTCACAGCCCTGCAGACTTTTTATCTCTAGATAAAAACCTTAACTCAGAAGTGGTACTATTAACTCAGGTGTAGGAATGACTGGCAAAGAAGCACAGACAGCACTCACAAGATGCTCAAGAAGGCTGGTTTCTCTTTTATGAACCTAAATGAGAGACATACATTT